CACTAGTTTAGATGTATACCTTCACTAGTTTAGATGTATAACTTCACTAGTTTAGACATCTATCAGCACTATCAGTGTTATTTTACATATATCATAAAGTGCTATAGGTAGTGCTAAACTAGGTTCAGAACTTAGAAACGATCATTTAATTACGTGTTGATTCACGTTAGTTTAACGAACAAACACGGACACAGAAATCTGATTCGTGTGCATCTTTTAGTTCGAGATATCTCTGAATTGATATAATGTTTATTAATTTTCAATCATATACTATATATATATATAAATGAACATAAATATATAAAAGCCAATAACCTTATTCTGATTGTTTTTGAAGGAGGAGAGGTCATATATATATGTATATATATGTGTGTGTGTGTATACTTTAAAATAGCTATTTAAACAAGATTGTTTAGTTAGTAAAGTCTGCCTATTCATTAACACTGGTGATGTTGAAGATAGTAAGATACGTGTAAAATAACACTGATTCGTAAGTTACTAACCTGATCCTGTAATAACGTTTAACGATCTTTACGACTCGTGTCAGTTAAAGTACCATCTAATTCCTTCCTCTTTATCTAACTTTTTATGTATTTATTTTCAGGCTCTACTCATTATACCGTTTCTCTCTGTCAGTACTAGGTGTTGGCGACATTTTAAATAGTGTGGGAAGGAAACGTTATGTGTATTAAGGTGTTTCTATAGCGTGAGTTTATATTGTTAATGGTAAGGTGTTAGAAAACTATTGGATTTTACATAAGGTCAAAGTGAAACGATCAAAAGATGTTAGCTACTCCATTTGGGCGTAGATATATGCTGGTCATTCTGTTCAAATACACCTACTGCCAATTGCTAGTGCATTGGTCATTCTGGACAATTACACCTTGATGAAGTTGATAAAGCACGTGCGCTTTTGTTGTGTCGCAAACCAAGATCGATTCGACAGAACTGTAAAATCCCGGATTGAACGGTCATGGAACAGCCTAGGTCATTCTACACCATGCTACGTGTTAAAATATTAATCTTGGAACGTTTATTTAGACATTTTAGTTAGTTTACGTTATGAATGAAATATTCTCAGAAATTGTTTTTTTTTTAGTTAACATCTGCCAATATTGTGGCTCAACAGTAAGTCTGCAGGTTTACGACGCGAAACATCGGACTTCGATACCCGTGGTAAGCAGAACACAGATAGCCAGCCCATTGTATAGCTTTGCACTTAACAACAACCGATCTGTTTACACCATAAAACATTTAAACAGCCCATAAGTTTTAGAAATACACTGAAGATTTTATAACACGTAGTAACACATAGTAACACGTAGCTGTTGTATTTCTAATAAAAAGTTTATATATGGAAAAAGATCTATCTCTGTGTTAGATATTTTAATACAATCTATGTTCTAAACATCGAAACAAAATAACGATGTTCTGGTAGTTGTCAGAAAAGTTTACACTACGATTAAAACATCACAAGTCCTTAAGGTTATGATTATCTAAGTTCTTTTATTCAAATAACATCACCCAATTAGCGGATATCTGATGAACGTAAGCGGAAAAAGAGTAGATGGCGCTTAATAGTAAAGGAATGGGGACCGTGAGAAAGTTCACCTTGTCTTAGCCAGTTTGAATAGGGTCATTACAGCTATCAAGTCATAGAGTGGTGGAATGCGGGTCACAGCCGCGCGCCAAGTGTGCCGCAGACAATGACGGCACGTGTGCGCGCGAGCGCAGCCGATTACCAGCGTGCAGCAGGGCGAGACGAGGTCAACCATCGCACAACGGCTGCCACTACGTTCCCACGGTTAGAACAGAGGGCTGATATGTCAGAAACTTTCTTCCCCCCTCTCCACCACTTAAGTTTGCTAGCCTCCTAGCTCTTGACTGTTAATTGGATTGCTATACATACACACACACACATACATGCACATATTTATATATATATATAAAGAGACAGAAATTATATTTCAAGACATTTCAGAGGCGTCAGAACCGGGGGTGCTATATAATACCTCCACCATTACATTTTGGACTTATATAGCAACTGTAAATTATATTATTATACTAATTTTCTGGGGGGGGGGGTATGCCCCCAGACCTCCCTAAATTGAGCAATCTTTGGCAGCAGCTCCTTATACGTTCAATCTCTTATTGTAAAATCCCCATATCTAGCCAAGACCCCCCACACTTTACAATTCCTTCCCACACTACTGTATATATACTGGCTTTCCGACAGTATATAATACTTTTAATGGGAAATTAAAGAGCACTTATTAACATATAAAAGCTGCCTATATAGGCTGGGCTAACTACATGTAAGTCATAAACGAAAAACTTACAAAGATTACAAAGCACCGACTGTCTTAACGTTGGCAAGTGTCCCTGGAAGATACAACCTAGAACCCACTGTTATACTGAAAGATACGAGAGGCTTCGTTAAATTCTCATAAATACGTCCAGAATTACTGTTAATACAGCCCTCGTATTTTTAACGTTGAGTGTCAGGTTTTCAGAAAATCGCCCGGAACCAACAATTAAATTTTCTAGGTTTATTTTCCCACGTCATTCATTGAAACAAAAATGAAGATTAATAGACAAACACTGAATTTCCTGATTATAAATACAGTTTTATAGTGAATACTTGAAGGTTCTAATTCACTAATAAATATTATTACTCGTTTTAATATCGGTAACCATCCTACCATAGGATGGAAGATTAATTTATGGACGAAACAGGAAATTAGTTGCTGTTTTTTTTTTGTCACAGTATTTTTGTTTTAACCTCCTTATCTGATCTCCCAGCTTTGCCGGTGAAGCGGTAGATAAGAGGTGATGATCATTGAAGTGACTATCCAAACGGAATAAAATATTCAACCGATATTCAACCCAATCATGTGTACGTTCAGATTCAAATATCTTGATCACAAAAATCATTCAGTTGGTTTGGGAAAATTTGTCACAAAACCGTTGCTAAGTGACGCATGGATATAGTTTGGGTGTGCCCTCCAGACAACAGCCCACGTGGAAGGCATGCGTATTAAATTTTTGTCAGAACCGGTTGCTTCTACCATATCGGCATGCTGCTTAAATACGAAATGTCTGTTTTAGGCGGAGTTTTCCCACACTCAGACGCGTTCCACTGCTTACCGATAAAAAGCCGTGGCACGTGCACTGCAGCCTCCCTGGCAGCTGTCTAGCTCGGTACTCAAATTTACAAGTATAAGGAAGGGGGGGGGGAAAGATTAGAGGAAGGGAACTTGTGTCGGAATGCTCGTCCACCAGTCAGCGATCACGTGTCGCGAGCCACTGCAATCACACCTATCAACAAACCCGCGTGCCTGCACTGTGATTGGCGCAGAACAGCGTGGGAAAGTGTCGCCCCTTCGTATCTCATGCCTGCCGCTACAACACGCTCTATTGACCCCTGGGCAGCCATAAAACCTAGCTTCCACGGTATTTTCCCACAGTTTCAAGTGCCACGTGCTTGTGTTCGGTCTGTGCCAGTCACGTTCCTCAACTCTGCGAGTCTGTTCTATATTGGCTGAGTGCCAGCACACACTAGTGTATTATCCTTCCAAATTCTGATATTATTGATCGACTTCGTAAGCATTAGAAAGGATTTCCATGGAGACAATGCCTTCCGATAAAGTTTCAATGAAAACCAGTGAAAATCGAAGAGTAAGAGCAGTGTTAATTAAAATATCAGAACTCCTAATATTTGTAACTGTGTGTAATGTTTAATCGTAATGTCTTCGCTGTTAGTAGATGTTATATTTCTTGTATAACAAATAAACAACAACTGTGATTTTTTCTAGAGTCGAACAGATAATTTACTGTAACATAATTCCAATGAATACGTTATTTCTTTGTTTTCAGAGTACCAAGCCTGTCATGGAGAGACGCCGCCGAGCCCGAATAAATGAAAGTCTGGGAGAACTGAAGAAATTGATCCTGGACGCTTTGAAAAAAGATGTAAGTTGTATTAAAAACCAACAAACATTAAATATTCAAACTATAAATAAAGACTTTTCAAAAAAAATTTAGTACTCGTATTATTAAACAGTCTAGACTTGGGCCTTAACATTCAGTATACTGCTCTTAAAATTAAAAACGTATGAATTATCTGGTTTCTTTCTTGAGGAAGGGGGGGGAATTGTTATCTGTGCGTCCACGAGGTAGGTGCTCGTGCGACGTTTGAGTGTGTATAGGCAGGATGTGAATAAAGCGTTGCGTATTTTAGCGGAACACAGTTGCGGGAGTTTGAGAAACGTTTCATGAAATTTAAGACCAGGTGTTTCTTTGGTCAAGGATGTCCATTGTGTAGTTCTTTGGTTGGAGATGGAAGAGGGGGGGGAGATGTGTCTGTACGTAGGTGGAGAGACATTTAACTGTTTCAACGATAATGTATAATAATAGTCTTGGTTTGGAGGTGGGGGGCTGTACGTAGGTGGAGGAAACTTGTTTTTTTTTTTGTAGTTAAGCACAAAGCTACACTATGAGTTATTTGTGGTCTGCCCGCCATGGGTATCGAATACCCGGATTCTAGCGTTGCAAGTCCGCAGACATACCGCTGTTCCACTGAGGAGCCAGATAGAAATTAACTGTTTTAACAATAATGTATAATAATAGTTTTGGTTTTTCGGGGGGTGGGGGCTGTACGTTAATGGAGGGAGATTTAACTGTTTTCACACTAGTGCTAAATAATTTTTGAAACAAATACCCACAAAATGTTAGCAATATATTTACTATCGTTTTGTTATTCATTTCTTTTAAGAATGCTCGTCACTCAAAGCTGGAGAAAGCTGACATTCTAGAAATGACTGTAAAACATCTTCAGAATATTCAGCGTCAACAGACGGCAACTCGTACTTTAAGCGACCCATTAGTGATGTCAAAGTTCAGAGCTGGTTTCAACGAGTGTGCTAAGGAAGTCACGCGCTACTTCAGTAAAATAGACGGAGTCGACCTCCCTGTCCGTCAGCGCCTCGTGAGTCATTTGGCCGATTGTTTATCCAGCCTTAGTACTCAACCCTGTAGTAGTCTTTCTTCCACGCATCCTGGTGGTGTCCAGGTCCCTACAAACACCAACAACGTCTTGAATACTGTCCATCTTCTGCCAACACGCCTACCCAGCGGAGAAATAGCCTTTATTCTTCCTGGAGAAAATGAAACCAGTCATCAACATCTAAATATGTTGCCTACTTATCCACCTGCTACCACGTTTTTACCACCCAGTCCGGTTAGTGTTTTGGGATCATCTGGAATTCTTAGTCCTGCTGCCAGCGACAGGACGGAGTCAAGTCCTAGTCCAATAAACGGCATATTGACTGCTACTCCTTTGAACACTTGTAAGTCTATTTCTCCAATTCCATCTTATCACCAGCTAGAGAAGCAGGAGAATGAACGTGTGTGGAGACCATGGTAATATTGACGTCATCACTCTGTGGAGACGCTGAAGAACTTTCAGTACAAACTAGTATAGAGACCCGGAAGTTATGTGTAATATAATGTACTTATATCTTGTATAGAAACAATTAACAAGTTATTGTTATGGCGCGAACTTGGCTTACAAGTTACTTTTGATGACTGTGATATCTGTACAGGTTTGTTTAGTATTGTACTTAGAATATTCGAATCTGTGTAACTTATTATCTCCTAAATATAATTGTACATACATATATATATATATTGTATACTGACAATCAGTTGGATCACACGTTAGTGCCTTGGAATATATTGAATATTAAAAGCATTTGTTATAAACGAGTGTTTGTTTGTGATTGTGGCGACAATAGTAAGAAGAACACAAAAGTAGCTTTTAATTTTGAGGTTTTAATTTAATATTCAGTTTTTACACGAAATCTTTTTTGTCACGTTTTGTTTTAGAAGTAAGAGACGGAAAGCGTAAATATTTTTTACTGAGAAGTTGTTTACTGTTTTATAAAGCCGAATCTTTACCCTTGTGTT